CCCCCCCCCCCTCTCCTCCCCGCAGTGCGCAGGGGGTCCGGCGTTCCGGGAACGCCGGACCTCCTTCGCGTTTCGGGGGATCGAACCGGCGCATCTCACCTTGTTCCCCCCCCTCTCCCCCCCCTGTAGTGCAGAGGGGGTCCGGCGTTCCCAGAACGCCGGACCCCCTTCGTGCTATGCCCATCGTCGGATCGGATCTCGGACCCCCGTCCTCCCCCATGGCACAAAGGGGGTCCGACATTCCGGTCCTCCCCCGCCGCACAAAGGGGTCCGGCGTTTCGGGAACGCCGGACCCCCTTTGTGCTGTGGCCATCAAGGGTAGGGGACGGAACGCCGGACCCCCTTGGTGCTGTTGTCAACGACGGGGAGGGAGGGGCCCCCATACTCTCTCGCAGCACCGACATGGGTCCGGCGTTCCAGGAACACCGNTTCCAGGAACACCGGACCCCCTTGGTGCTGTTGTCAACGACGGGGAGGGAGGGGCCCCCATACTCTCTCGCAGCACCGACATGGGTCCGGCGTTCTGGGAACACCGGACCCCGCTCGGTGCTGCTAGAGGTAGGGGGAGGGAAGGACATGAAACGCCGCGGGGTTTCGTCGACGAGGCGGGTGAGGGAGGGGTTCGGCCGACCACCGTGCCGATAGGCACGCTGGTGGGGTCTGCTATTTTGGGGACGCCGGACCCGCACACACAACGGACGTGGGGTACAACGTTCTAGGAACGCCAGACCCGCTGCATGGGGCGGTAGCGAAACTCCCGTGCCGCGACGGATGCTTCTTCACGTCACTTAGTGTTGTTTTCTTGATGTCTTTTTCTGTGCGACCCTTCAGGAAAAACAACGTCTGGCTCCGCCCCCGAAAAACGGTACGGCAGGTCTAAGCTCTTGATTGGGTAGGCGGCCTTCATATGCCGGGTTGCGGAGCCGTTGTCTTTTTGAGGGATGACAATGGCCTGAGTTGGTACTGCTGCGGAGGGGTCGAGAAATCGGAAGCGGGGAGGTTTACCTATGACGGCAGGAAGTTCAGGACCTTCTTCCTTACGTTTGTCTATGACAGAGAGGGGAAAAACTGGGTTAAGGAAGACAAGAAGGTGTCTCTTCACCATCGGCTCTTCCAAGGATACGGGGTCAAGGCTTTGTCGATGAAAGCGTTTGACGTGCGCGGGAACGGAACGGAGTTCCAAATGCTGGATCGGGAAAAGTTTCTTTCCAAAACCAATGGCTACCGCGTGACTGGTTCCCTGCCTATCGTCGACAGTGCTTTCATGCTCACCAGACCTTTGGTCCAATTCAACAGCCCGACGGACCAACTCGCAGCTTTCGTCATGCGATACAGGGAAGAGTTCGCGAGGCTGCCTGCTGCCCAGCAAGTTGACCGTGTTTTCGTGCCGATTGACGCCCCACCTTCGTCGGCTGCGGGGCCCAAACGGTGCCAAGATCAGCCGGCCAGAGCGGGTGGAAAGAGGAAGCAATTGCCGACTGCCCCGTTTTCGTCGGCTGCGGTTGTCCAGGCTCTGCCCGCTCCGGTTCCGCCCTCGGATCGGCAAGGTCGCGATGCTGCCGAGCAGTCCAGCGAGGCCACAAACTACGACGACGGAGTTGTGCGCTATCGGGCTGGTCCCCAACATCGTTCACGGGGAGGTGCAGGTGCCTTCAATGACGAGGAATGCGAGGGCCAAGATGGGGAGGGCGGTGGTTGGGATGGGGAGGGCGGTGGTGAGGAGGGGGAGGGCGGTGGTGAGGAGGAGGAGGGCGGTGGTGAGGCGGACGACGGTAACGAACCACGTCGTGTTTCGCACCGAGGGAAGGGTAGGGGACGAATGAAACGACGACTTCTTCATATCGTACAAGGACCTGGAAGAGAGGTATGCTTCAAACGGGTTATGCGCAGATGAATGAGAGAAGCAACGGGAGAAGCTGCATAGCAACTTAGTGAAGACGATCCCTCGGTGACTTGGAGGAGTGGAGGAGGCGAGGCAAGGTGCGGGCTTGGGGCCTACAGAAGTGATGTACAAGGAGACTCCGTTTCACTTCAAGGTCTTTATATACACCACGATCGATAAGCTCGATATGCTTCGAGCGGAGGTGAAACGGATTGCCTCCAGTGCACGCCATCTTGTGTGGGACAAACTCAGCAGGCAGACCACATTGCTTCCTGTATGCATGCGGTCAAAGGAGGTTATGGCGGCRCCCGTCGACATCGTCGCAGCCGCACAAAAAATGGCATGCAGGGCCGCCATCGTGGACATCTCGGCCGCGGATTTCAGCAGTGCATGGACCTCGCAGGACTTCGATGCACTGTACGCAATGATGACGAAGTGTTGTGGTCCAAATTGGGTCCTCTTCTTCTTTGCACCGCAGAATGTGCAAAGCGATGTCTTGCGTCAATTGTACCGTTGGGAGGACATCGAGCTCATCCCCGGGTCATGGAAACGCGTGGACAGGCCGCCGAGCGACGTCACAAGGTACAACAACATCGCTACGAGCAGTCGGGACCTGATGGCGATCGTGTTGCATGCTGAAGGAGGGGATCTGAAAAAAGTAACTGTCGCACCCCGACTTCACAACGATCTCACCGAAGTGCATGTTGTGGAGGAAAAGTTCGGGAAGTGTCTCGGAAAACACGGTGGCGTCGAGGGTGACGAACGTGCCGCATATTCAATTTGGGAGCGAGAACCTGGCAAGTTGCGGAAGTTGTGCGGTTCATTCGTAGGAGAGGCGGAAGGTGTGCTTTTGCTGGGTAGGGCGCACGCGAGTCTTGTATGAAAGTTATTGCTTGCAGGTAATAATGTCATTGCCTGTGACGAGTCGGCCAAGGACATTGCATACTTGACAAAGTTCGTCGACATACTTGTTAAGGATGGGAGATTCGAGTGCCGCCTCGAGAAACCGCGTGCCACACATCGGACGAACAGGGATATGTACCACAAGTTGGGACTGAAAAGACTGAAGGTGTGGGAATACCTGTTCCGCGATGCGCCGGATGAACGCCTTGATGGGGGATACATATATAGGAAAACCAAGGTGACCGAGGCCCTCAAACATTATCACGGGGCTCTAACTGGCGCCTTCGAGACATTCGTTGCTCGATGCGAGATCTTGAGGTTTGATCTTCACAAAGATAAACAGACGTTTAAGGATTGTGCAGACCTCGCTAAATCGGGTGAAGGCTTTAACCCCGTTGACAGCGAGGAAGACTCGTCGAACTCCGACCTCGAGATCGAAAAGAACACCAATGCAACCGGGTGGTGTGGGAAGTCCACTGCCATGGAGCACAACGTCAAGGGATATGGACCAGGTCAATCAGAGGGATGCTCGAACCTGCCACCCGCGAACAGTGTGGCCTCGGGTGTGGACCGGGTTGTATGTACACCTGTGGAAGACGACGAAGACGACGACCTTGATATTCTTGCTCAGCCAACGAAGCTGGCGCCAGGCGATCCGATTCCTCCCAGATTTTGTGCGGATGCAAACAATGTGTATTTCTTGCCAGTGGATGATAAATACGCCTGCACTAGTGAGGACAGGTGGGGCCATGATATCATTTGGCATGACGGTATTTTCGAGCCATGTATCCAAGGCGTGGAGTGAAAAATGGCGGCGAAGTATGTCTCGAAGGGTTGGAGACCGTTTCCCCACATGGGAAAGGACAACTGACTGAAGACGACGGAGCAATCAATACTATACTGTTGTCGGAAAGAGAACTCCGGGGAGAGTGAAACATCCATCGCGGCAAAGGCGAAACAATTGTTCGACGCCTTGGGAGCCACTCGGCAGTTAGAGTACTCACACAAGTTTTACGAGCTGCAGTCGAGCCCCTCGTACGGCAAGATTGACTGGAAGGTTGAGCGCGCCGTCGCGCTCGAGAGCGTGGACGTGGACTCCCAAAAAGATGTCGCCCCTGTGCCCGAGGCGGCCACAGGGAACACGATGGGTGGACAAAGGGAAGATGGCGGGACGACGTTCGGCGTAAAGCCTCCGTTGCCAGAGGCGGGGAACACGCCCGCAGGCAAAAACACCATCGGAGTCATCTCTGTCGCAACGGGGGATACATCACAAGGTGAAAAAGTGTCACTCGACAAGCCGGCAGATGCGGGCGCCACATACGGGAGTCTCCTCGCGACAGGTGCAGCGCTGGCAAGCACATCGGAGATGGTGTCAGAGTCCACTGCTGGGATGGGCGTCACGAGGATGTCGTTGCATCCGCCCACATGCACTAGCAAAGGTGACGCACACTATACAACAACACCACAGGGAGGGGTCACAGGGGATGACGGGAATGGGGGAGATGCAGGGGGGTCTCCACGTTCTCGCAATATTGAGGACATGACGACGGACGATGAGGATGGGGTAGAAGGCGGAAAGGGCGTGAGCGATCCCACGCGTGCAGAAAATGAGGGGTGATACAGGGAATGAACTTGAGGGGAATCCTCTTCGTGGGGAAATTTAATGTTTTCGTGTGTGTGCTCATTTGTTTGAAATCTGGGTTTGTGGGAGGAATTTGTTCCTGTGTACAATCGACCTGCAGACTCATTAGTGTTCAATTTCCGGGATTTGGCCTTTTAATTGTTGACAAGAAAATTGTGGGGTTAACAAGTGTGTGTCGTAGTATGCGTGTGTGTCTCTCTATATTCGTCAATATGCTGCGTTGTGTATATGCATGTATGACGTTGGGGTACGGTGATGAAAGGGGGCAGGAGTCAGAATTGATTGGTCCCGAAGTGTTGTCGTTCATCTAAGTGTAAGTTTCGCGAAACATTGATGACGTATATTGAATACACCATTTCCGTTTAGCATGTTGGGCGACCATTTTTTACACCCCTGTCCGCGTCGGTCGATGTCGTATTCGTCGTGTTTGTCGTGTGCAGTGCAAATTACAACAACGAATACAAGAAAGTGCAAAAGAGGGTGGACAATGCGCCTCGCAACATCGTCTTTATCAGAGAAGAAGATGAAAACACTCTCACATGTATGCCGGGAGTACGGAAAAAGGTTCCCAATAGTGAGCATACACAATCATCGGACGAAAGAAGTACTGAAGCTAACTCGATACGAATTTATTTTACTAGTCAACGGGCGGAACTGGTTAAATGACAACGTCGTCAACTTCTACCTGAACCTCATCGCACTAGACAACTGGTGTAGAATCACACACGTAGAATGCGACGCCGAGAATGAAACCGTGATTAGAATCGGAAAGGGTCGCATTCCTAGAATATCAGTGTTGAGCTCGTTTTTCTTCGCCAGACTTTTTGACAACGAAATGAGATATCAAGGGCGAGAGGTGCAGCACTGGTCGAATAACATTATAATAAGTAACATGGACTTGATAATTGCCCTTTTCCATATCGCACACACGAACCATTGGACCCTCGTTGTGGCTGACTTCAGGAGGAGGAAATTTAAATTTTACGACTCCCTCAGCCCCGACAAAGAACTGGCAGCCAAAGTGACCGGCGGATTTGCAAAGTTTTTGTTTAAAAGATCGATTCAGCAAGGCAAAGAGGTGGACACGAAACCGTTTAATCACATATGGACCGTAGAGGGCGTCCAAAAACAATGTGACACTAGCTCGTGTGGGGTCTTTATGCTCGCATACGCATCGCTATTGGCAAGGGGTCACCTTCCGCCTTTCTCTTTCACCGCTGATGACATACCCGCAATACGTCGTCGAATGGCTTTGGACACAGTGGCTTGCGAGTAGTATGAACCTGCTGCTGGATATTGTGATTACATGCGGATGGATGTGGGTAACATCAAATTGTTTGTCATGGAAACAGTGTATGGAAGATGACAACCATTGCTCCAAGTTCCTGCCCCTTACCCCTTGTCTTTTAACCCTTATCCCTTATCCCCAAACCCCTTACCCCTTACCCCTTACCCCTTACCCCTTACCCTTGCATGTATACCCATACCCCAAATTCAAATGCATTTTTGACCCTAAATCACCACGGAAATGACAATTTAAATTTCGTTCAAAAAATATAAAATGTCCGTTTTGACGAAATCGCTGTTGTATAAGAGAGTTAGAACCCCTTGATTGACAATTTCTCCCATTTCTCCTGTGTTCCATACCTCCTGATAAAAATCCATAAGATCTTGGGACATAGTATCCCACATTGATTCCCAGAGTTCCTTGGGAAACCCGTCAATCCCCGGAGTCTTTTCCTCCTCCATTAGCAGTAGTGCTTTCCATACTTCCTCTTTACTGAGGGGTTTATCAATCTCCTCTCTCTGGTTATCTGACAAGGACCGTCTCATAGGTTGGAGGAAAGCATCAATTTCACCTAGAAATTGGTCTCTGGGAAGATCTTTTGTTTCAGATGAGAATAGTTTTTTAAAGAAGTCTCTAGCAATTCTGTTACAAGCAGCCGATGAAGTGGACAGAGGTTCATTTAAGTAAAAGGGATTGGATAAGGCGTCGATAGTGGTTCTACCTTAATTTTGTTTTTGCCATTGCAAAGAATCTTGCATCCATAGACCCTTCTGTCTGATTCTTCTTTAATTTTTTCCTAATCCTCACCCCCTGCCATCTGTATTCCATGTGTTTCATTAACTGTTCCTCTAAACTCTGAATTTTATTGGAAATTGGATCTAGATGGTCTGGTTCGTCAATGCAAATTTCTGTTTGTTGAAGTTCTTCAATTCTTTTATGTAACTGTATTTCATTTTGGTGCCTTTGTTTAGCTAAAGCTTTGGAATATTCATTGCATTTACGTCCTAGATCCTTGAGAAACTGTTTGAAGTTGACTGATTTGAGATGAGAAGTATTGAGTCTGTAAAATCCTCTACCCTGATCAGGTTTCCTGCTGAATGTGATTAATACCATGCACGTGGCGTGATCCAATCCTCGGAAGGGACTTCTTGGAAGTATGCTGGCAAACTGCACTAACCCCTGAAGTTCCTCAGAAATCAGGATCAAATTTATTCTGGATTTTGTACTTTTTCTCGATTGGTTCCTTCTGAAGCAGCTGAACATTTTGGTATTCGGGTTCAGTCTCCTAAAGGAATCAAATAAGTTAGTTGTATTACAAAGATTTGATATGATGAACTCATCCACTTCCACAGTCTGAGGGATTTCTCTTATTCCTATTCTCGCTTAGTTCCCAAACTTTACATTTCGCTTTCGAATTTCTTGATATTGAGATTCTTTGTTGCTTCTATCAGAATTATATTTGATTTTTTGGTCAGAGCCTAAAATTTTTCTAAGTTCTTAAACACAGTTTTTTGAAGCCTGTGAAATAATCTTTGATTTTAATCTTTGATGATTTGGAGGGCTAATGGAATGGCATATGGTCACACACGATGAGGGAGAGCAGACGGGTTGAACTTGACGGGTGAGAAGCTTGATTGAGGGGTGTAACAAGGGGGGGGGGGGGGTTTTCGTTAGTAGGTCAGAAGAATGTGGCTGGGACGACGCAGGCCGGTGCTGGAGCTGCGCTGGGGCGTTGCTCTATAACCTGGGCGAGGGGAATTCTTTCGAGGGAGGACGACAAAACCAACACTTTCGACGTTGCCGTTGCCGGGGTTTAATCCCTGTCACCTTTTTAGGGGAGTGCGGCTAATGAGAGTTGCGGAGGGAGGAAGGTACTCCTTACCGTCTATTCTAGGCTGGTCGGTACTGGGGTATGGTGGTGCCCTGTAACCCTAGCATTGGAGGGTATGAGACTAGCTGTGCGTAGGATCGAGGACCGATTACGAGGTTTGTGGTTTCCTTCAACAGATGCTGGGAAGGTAGCAAGGTGGTGGTGTTAGTTTGGACTTTTCTGCTCTCTTTTTTGTGTGTTATTCAGTTCAAATCTGGCTTTTCTATTGATGGGGTTTGAAACAACTATATGTGGGGATCATCCAGAAGAGGGTTGTGTCCTTACTAGTAGGTCAGGAGGGCGAGATTGGGCTGATGAGCATTGTCTCGTTCGACGTAGCTGTCGCTGGGGCTGTAGCCCTGTCACCTAAAGGGGCGTGCAACTATTCAGGAGTTGTCGAGGGTGGAAGGCACTCCTTGCCGTTTGTATCAGGCTGGTCGGTACCGGGGATGTAGCGGGTCCTTGTAACCCTAGCTAAGGGGGTTTGAGATCAGTCGTTTCAGGTACGAGGACTGGACGAGGGGTTGCGGTTTTCCTGCGGGTGAATAGGAGGGATGAATTAAAGGGGGTAAGGGTTGTCCGTTCCCCATCTGACTGATTGCAGGGATTTGGGAGTAGGATTTTTTTGACTGCCATATCGTCTTCATGAAATTTTCTTCACATAAAAAAAGGGGCATCCCTGCTCAGTTAATCCCCTGGTTTCGGGGGCAATTAATGCTGGCAGGGGGAGATCTTCTCAATTTTTTACTCAAAAATAGGTGAGTGGGAGAAGTAGATGGTTGGATATCAAGTGTCCTACTAGTGAGGGGGCTAGCTCGTAGGATGGAAATAGGGTACAGCAGCAGCGGAGATGGTGGCTCTGCTGCAGTAAGCCTTGCCGGAGTGAGGTACAGAGGATTGATGGGGGGTTCCTGAGTCGTCTCTGAACTTTGCCTATCTCTGAAGTTTGTCGTACTAATCTTCTAAGTAGTTCATTTTTTTCTTAGCCAAAGCCAGGTAATGGCCTCGATATCTCTAACTTTCAAACGACTATGTAAATTTTCATATGGGACGCTGGGCCCGGTTCACGTGCTCCCACAAATAGATTGGAACTTTGTTCCTTAAAAAAAAAAAAAAAAAAAAGAAGGATTGATTGCCTCTTACCCGTCTGACCCTCAACTCTTAGGGCTAGATCCCACTGGCAAGGACGATTGGAATAAGACTCTGAATCTGGACATGTTCCATGGAGAGATGCAGCAAAGCAGATCAATCACAGTTTTCTGCACCTCGCCACAAAGACGTCCAGATTCACACACTCATTCCAATCCTCTTTGCCAGTGGGATCTGACCCTTAATCATGAAAGGATTGATGAGGATTACGCTTGTTATTGCTGGTGAATATATGCGCAAATTGATATCTATCCACATAATTGTATTGGACATATATGCTGTATGAGCAGGAGGTCAATCCTTCCCCTGTGTTGGGAAGTAATCAATGCCTCTGCTCCTTCACATAAAGTAGTACATCAGCTCTGGGGTTTCACTTCATATCAGTGTTAAGTTTTCCCTTTGGCGGGCATGTATTAATCAATGAGTGAAGACACACCGGTTGGATGTTGATTCATATGGATTGCTGTACGTATACAGACCGCTTATGAAGGTAGGACACAGCTACACACCACTGCATAGGGGCGCTGGACCCGTCTTCCAACTGACACACGTCACATCACTGTTATACACATCACATTATGGTTAGGGTTCCGTCTGATAGATAAGATTGGGCTCGAAGCCTCAGTTTGGTTTGGAGATACTGTAGATCAGATGGATAGGGTCTCCCATCATCTGACATATATTGCTTGACGTGCA